AGCTACTGATGTTTGTTAATAGTCCTAAATGCTCAGCAAGCAGGAGAGTCTGCATCAGTTAGGAATAGCTCACTGCATCAGCCCCAACACTGTTGTATGAGTTTGCAAAAACCTGTGTCTTATAACCGCAAGGAATAAAGGTCACGACACCTCATCCAAGCCAGCTGCATAAGAGGGAACAGAAGAAGAAGAAAGCCCAGCCCAGACGATGAAAATAACCAAGGAGCTGTAGAAGCAAGCACCAGTCACACACTTCTCCCATAGCCACTCTTTTATTCCAGCTCCTGCAGAGATATGGACCGAGGAAGATGACCATTAAATTATCCAGACTAGAATCTGTCCCACAGTAAAATGCTCAAGAAACATTATTTCCCTTCCTCTCCCCTTTCTTCCTCACTTGGCTTTGTGTTTTTAGGCTCAGGATTCCTATTCCCATTTTTACCCAATATGAAGAGCAAGCCAATATTTTGTACTGTGAGAGAGAAAGTATCCCTTTTTCATGTACATTATTCAAAAGGAATCTCTTACGTCTAAATCATCCCATGTTGATCGCATGAGGCAGACCCGTGGGACGAAGGCTGAAACTCTGGAGTTAGCCTGTCTGGGTTCCATGTTAGCTGCACCATTTGCAGGCTGGCTGGCCCAGGGCAAACTGCTGAAGTTCTCAGTGCTTCCTCTTCTTTAAAATAATATCTTATAGTGTGTTGATATAATTGAATGAGAACAGGTGTGTAAAACTCTTAAAATTTTGTCTGGAATATAGTGAACACTTTGTATTATAAAGAGGTATTATTATTGGTGTCAGTGATGTTCAAGTTCTCAGCATGACCAGAGGGCCCTCCGGTGACCAGCCCCTCTCACCTCTACTGCTTCCTGCACAGACTACATCGCAAAGCCTATCTCTTTGCTCCACTAAAGCCAGGTTATCTTTTAGTCCCAGACTGTTTTATCTCTGTCCTCTTATCTTTGCTCATACTGCGCTGCCTAGTTGTAATTCAACATTCCCTTCATACAACCTGTTTTCTACTAAGCTTCGACCACGTAGAATTGAATGCTGCTATATTTGTGCCCGTGCTCAGACATTTTGTACAAATTTCTTCATTCTTCTCCTCTTCCTCCTCTGGATTATGAACCCTTCAAGGGCAGAAGAGTGTTTCAGTCACCCTTTTAGCCATACCACCCAGCAGCTGTTATAAGAACACATTTAGGAAAATGTGTGTTGAATTAAAGAAGACTTAAGAGCCCAGTGTAGTAATTCTGAAGTCATAAAATTCTGTTTAAAGTACAGCCACAGGAATTGACTCGGTAACCTCTTCTGGCAGCAAATCTCATTTATTACTATAAACTACATAAAGTAATTGTCTTTATTTGTTCAAAATTCAATGTCCTTTAATCACATCTGGTGAATTGAATTAAGGAACTTATTCTTATTAATGGAATTCAATTTTTAATATATCTGAGATTTTTCTAACATCATTCAGAGTCCTATAAAGTTTTCTCCTTGATAAGTAATGCTCCATTTTTCTATTTTCCTATTCTTTTGTTTATAAATATCACATAATGTTTTTGCAATCAATTATACTATCTTTAATAAATTGGCTTGCCAATAATTAAAAACAATTATAATATATAAGTATGTCTCCATATTTTTTCTCTTTGGTGAATTTTACCCAAATCAAATGAAGTATCTTATACAAGTAACTATGTAATTTATATTTTTCTAATGGACTTTTGGTAAAGAAAAAAGTAACTTATCCTATATGATGGCTCAAAAATGCATTTATTTGTGAAATTAATAAATAGGATTTTATACTTCCTTCAAATATATCACAAACCCAAACATTTCTCTCCATTGTCACTGCCACCAAATTTACACTCACCATCATCCCTCAACTCAACTACTACGATAGTCTTTAGACTGGCTACCACTTCCAGGTTTGCCTCTCTACTACCCGCAGCACATTTGAAGTGATCCTTTAAAATTGTAATCAGTTACCCAGTCAAAACCCTCCTATCACCATTATATAATGAATAAAGTCTTACCTCCTTCCAATAGCCTATGAAGCCCAGCATGACCTGGCCACTGTCTGCCTGTCTCCCTCACTCTCTACCCCACCACCTCAGGGCCCTGGGTCACTATACGATGTTTTGTTTTTTTTCCCCTCCTTGAACATGCCATGCTTGTTCCTGTCCTGAGCTTTTGTACTAGTGTCCTCTCTCCTTGCAATGCTTGATCCTGAAGATAAGGCTGAGTCCTTATGTTCAGATCAAATACAGTTTCTTCACGAGGCCCCCTTCCCAGACTGCCTCCATTCAAGGAGGCTGTCCAGTCCTGTTGTGGGCCGCTCTGCCATTGACATCTCTCACAGTTCTTGCTCAACTCTGCCTGTGCTTAAAAGTCCAGCTGATTCGGTCTGCCCTGGATCTTGGCACTCAGGTCCACCAGGGTCCCCACTATTGCATACATTGTTACCACCCTCTTGTGACACCTACTTAAAGCTAAAAAACCTCACAGACCTCCGTAGCTGAGCCACTTTGCTTCCAGTAGGCCAATTTTTTATCAGCCATTAGCCTTGCCACACAATAACCAGGGGAGATTTAGGGTTGTAAACTGGGTTTATTTGTACCATGGGACCCTTGTGACACTACTGAGTCACCATGTGCTGGCATGGGATTACTCAGCCCAGTAATCCCTTCCCCAAATCATAAGCAAAACCCTGAGAATTTCCTCAACTAGGAATTTCTAAAACTACTCCCACCAGACGTTTGACCTGAAGAAGCTGAGAGGAGAAAACAAGAGTTCTCGCAGCCACTTTCCTCTCCCAGTGTGGTCTTCTTCCTCTCCACTTCTGTTATATCTCAAAATAATGCATGAAGAAAGCTCTCTTCCTATTGCTTTCTGCATGATTTGAAACTCCTTTATATAAAATTCCATGAAAACTTAGTCATTTGTGCTTGCTGAATAACATCACGATGACAAGTAAAATCAGTTAGTGAATCATCTCAGTGTTTTATGCTTATATTACTAAGCATCGGATCTTGGCAAAACACCCAAATAATAGACTAATCCACCAAGTCTAGACTTTATATGTAAGAGGGGATGAAAGGTATTTAGAAATCCTTTTTTCCCAAGACTGACTGACTTTAAACCATCTATCAAAGTGGATGACAGAAACTGAGTGTCTTGTGCCCATCTCTGCCCCATGTCAGACAGATGCCTTGACTGCTCTAGGAGGAAAGACAAGTATTTAGGAATCAGAAGAGAAAAGTGTATAATCATCATTTGACTTAGACACAAATGTATGGAATGGAATAGAATGAGTTTCCTTACATAAAATACAAAAAGCAAGATAGAGATAACGATAGCCAAATAAAACTTTATAAAAAATAATAATATATAAGTAGCTCTAGAACTTGAGTGTTATTTATTCTTCCTGCTGAGCCATTAAATCATAGCCATGATTTAGGAAATGCACATGCACGCCTAACACACACACACACACATACACACAATCTGAGTTGCCAAATAGATAACAGGGCTCAGGTCACTTGTGGGCCTTAATTATTTGCTCTCATTCTAGATATGATTTTCAAAAAATCAAATGTTTGATTTTCTGACTGTCCAGCAAAACATTTTGAAAGCAACATATCAAATGTTGTATGGTAAAAACAGAGCAAGAATGGCATTTGATGCTGAGACCAAATATTAATGTTAAAGAATTAATATTCACTCAAATATAAGTCTATAACCAGTTGAGATAGGTGTGAATGCCCCTTTTCTGTTTTTAATAATATTAAATATGTTGATCTTTTATGTCAAGATATACAACCAACATATTGTGTATGTTATATGCGATAATTGTTTGTAGTTTGGGTCATTTAAAAACTTCAAGCACAAGCTATACACAGTTTCAACAGAGAAACTTGATCTACCTTATGAAACATTAACTCTCTTTTTCTCAAATTGAGGGCTCAAATAGTATTGAAAGTATATATCCAGGCAGGACTATCTTATAAACAGTGTCCCAGAGACCATGTGCAACTGAAGACTTTTCTGAATATACTCAGTTAGGACTGGATTGACCCAAGCTACCCAGCTATAACTTCTAGCTTCTTATATGGCTTAGATGTTTCAGTGATCAGAAGCCTGTAAAATGGAATAATAAAACCCACCTTACAGAATTGCTGTGATGATTAAATGACAATTACACACACAGTTGATACAAAATATAGACATGTTATTCATCTATTATGTTTTATACCTTTGAGAAAAGATTAAATAAGATTTGGTTTTTAAAACAACAGAAATGCCCCAAAACATTCTCTATGTTTTGATTATCTATAAATGTGTTTAAATACAATATTTAAGTGTAAATAATAAAAGTACTAAATTAGGAGGAAAATTAAATTATTTTCTTCTTAAAGGCCCCACCTCCCAATACCATCATCTTGGGCATTAGGGTGCATACAACATATGGATTTGGGGAAGGAGGGCAGGGAGCACAAACATTCAAATCATAGCAGTTGACATACATCAACATGAAAATAAAAGATATTTAGACAAATCTAATTATATGGTCTTTATTTTGTTAAGCATTCAAATAATTATAAACATCCAGATGTTTAATGAACTTTTTGTGATTTTATATATGTATATATATGTATACATATATATTTCTCTGTGTGTGTGTTTTATGGACTCAATTTATTCTGTAAATGGGAAACATAAAAATAGATACCATGAAATATAGTTAGTTAACAAGATATACTCATTTTCTTAAAGTATCAATTACAACATTCAATATCTTTTAAATATTTATTTTATTAAGTGATTCTATGGCATTTCCTAAAAATTAAAAGAAATGATAAATCAATGTAAACAAAGGACACAATAATACATACAGAAAGATCTACAATAGTGATTTCTTTTAGTTTCCTTTCGGTTATTCAGTTATATATATAATACACTCAGCACGTTAGACTAACATTTTTTCTCTCTCTTTCTCCCAACAGCTTAAGAATGTACTAATTCAAGAATTTTAAAATACAGTGGACTAGCATAACAACTGTCTATGTGCTTCCCATGATATGTTCTCTGTATTGTAAGTATATATATTTACATTCCCAAGCTAGATTGATTGTGAGAGAAATATGTTCAATTAGAATTTACAGATGACTTAGATTGTTTCAGAAAAATACAAGCTACAACTCATCCAAAATATAGAATAGTCTTAGAAGGTTATCTTATGTGAAGATGTGTTCTGCAAATTTGATTTAACATTGTATCAAAATTAAAACTTAATATAATTATCTATCATGGTAGAATAATATACCCATTATGTTAAATTTTTTATAAATATTATACTTAATATCCTTAAGATTTTTATACCACTCCTCAGTTTTCTAGAAATTAAAAAATAAATACTGGACATGCAGAATTCTATGCTAAAGTATTAAAATTTGTTGAAATGTTTTAAACATAATGTTTACTATTTCAAGGTTGGATCCATTTTTACTATACTGTTATCTTTTTGAAAAGTTGTTTTAGTTCTGGCAAGATACTACCCATAGCACTAAATCATAATGCTACAGAGAAAAATAATTGTTCATAGACCTTGTACTCTATTTGATAATTCTTTTTTATTGAATTTATTGGGATGGCATTGGTTCACATAATCATACAGGTTTCAAGTGCATAACTCAACCATACGTCATTTGCACAATGTCTTGTGCATTCATAGCCCCAAGCTAAGTCTCTTTCCATACCCATCATCCCTCCCTTTGCCCGTCTCCACATACCCCCCTCCTGCCTGCTGCTTTCCCTCTGGCTATCACCACACTATTCTCTGTGTCTATGTGTTATATATATGTTTATTTTTTCACTTAATCCCTTCACCTTCTTTCATTCAGCCCCTCAACACCCCTACTGCCTGACTGCTGTCTGTCCCATGTATCCATGAGTCTGTTTCTATTTTGTTCATCAGTTTATTTTGTTCATTAGATTCCACATATAAGTGAGGTCAATGGTATTTGTCCTTGTCTGACTGGCTTATTTTGCTCAGCATAATTACTCTCCAGGTCCCTCCATGCTGTCTCAAGGGGTAATAGATCCTTCTTTTTTACAGCTACATAGTATTGCATGGTGTAAATGTACCACAGCTTTTTAAAAAATTTATTGGGGTGACAGTGGTTAATACGAATATATAAGTTTCAGGTATGGGTTTCTATGTTACAAGATCTGTATATTGCACGGTGTGCCCATCATCCAAAGTCATATCTTCTCCCGTCACTGTCACCATGTATTAGGACCCCCACCCCCTTCCCTCTGGCAACCACCGCACTGCTATTTGTGTCCACAAGTTTCAGTTTTATGTCCCACATATGAGTGACATCATATGGTTCTTAGCTTAGCTTTTCCTGACTGACTTATTTCACTTAGCATAATATTCTCAAGGTCCATCCACGTTGTTGCAAATGGCAGTATTTCATCTTTTCTTATGGCTTAGTATTCCATTGTGTACATATGCCACATCTTCTTTATCCAGTCCTCTATTGCAGGACACTTTGATTGTTTCCATGTCTTGGCCCCCCTAAATAATGCTGCAATGAACATAGGGATGCATGTATCTTTGCAAACACACGTTTTTTTTTTTTTTGTTTTTTGGGTATATATGCAGGAGAGGGATTGCTGGGTCATATTAAGCTCTATTCTTAATTTAACCACAGCTTTTTTATCCACTCATCTACTGATGGGCACTTGGGCTGTTTCCAGATCTTAGCTATTGTAAATAATGCTACTATGTACATTGGGGTGCATATATTCTTTCAAATTAGTGTTTAGGTTTCTTAGGATATTATCCCATAAATGGAACCACTGGGTCAAAAGGCAGTTCCATTTTTAATTTTTTGAGGAAACTCCATACTGTTTCAACAGTGGCTTCATGAATCTGCATTCCCACCAACAGTGCACAAGAGTTTCCTTTTCTCCACATCCTCAGCAACACTTGTTTGTTGATTTATTGATGATAGCCATTCTATTTGCATCTCTGATAATTAGTGACATTGAGCATCTTTTCACATGTCCATTGCCCATCTATATGACCTCTTTGGAGCAGTGTCTACTCAGGTCCTTTGTCCATTTTTTAATTGGGTTAATTATCTTCTTGGTGTTCAGTAGGATAAGTTCTTTATATATTTTGGAAATTAATCCCTTATCAGATATATCATTGGCAAATATGTTTTCCCATTCAGTGAGTTCCCTTTGCATTTTGTTGATGGTTTCTTTTGCTCTGAAAAAACTTTTTAGTTTGATGTAGTTCTATTTGATAATTTTTCTCACAGGTATACAAGTTAATAATCGTGAAGTTACTTTGTATGTATACTAGGGCGAAGCACATAAATAAATAGTTAATAATCAAAGTTACAAATAAGTAAAATAAAATAGCTAAAATTAACCTCATAGTGCTAGATAAGAGATGAAGACATCAATATGAACTCATTTTTATTTTAGTGTACATAAAGATAGATACAAAATAAGGATAGATAGGTGTGCACAGATAGGTATACATACATAACATATATTAGCTCTACCTCCTGAAAGGTCCTAGAAGCAGTTCCATCACTGTAGCAATGAGCACACCTCATGCCCAGATTTATTTTCTAAATGTTGTCCAGTGAAAAAGTAACCAGGGCCCTCAGAAATAAGAGCTGATTTTAGATCTAGGGCAAGAAAAATACAAGATGAGTCTGAAGCATCTTATAATTCCAAAAAATGCTAGGCAAAAATGCAAAAAGCATATTATTCTGTTTAGGTCAGTGCACTTTTTTAATATTTTTGCATACTTATGGATAGTATGACTTGTTTATGTGTGTGTTGTATGTCTGTTTGTATGTATTTATATCATTTTATAATGATATAAAATGTGTTTCTTTCTATAGGTCATAGTTAAAAACTTTAAATGCCACTATCCAAAAAATGCCCTGGAAAAGTAGAACTATAGGAAACTTTTAAACTAATGAACAAAATAGAAACAGAGGCATGAATACATGGAACAGACTGACAGCTATCAGAGGGGAGGGGAGAGGGGAGACTGCATGAAAGTAGGTGAAGGGATTAGCCAAAGGACATATATAGGGGTGGGCAAAAATAGGTTTACAGTTTTGACTACATGAAACAGAGTTTATTCTTGCATTATTTTCCACATAAACAACTGTAAATCTACTTTTGCCCCCTCCGTATGCATAACCCATAGACACAGATGACAGTGTGGCGATGGCCAGAAGGACTGGGGATGGAGGGGTGGGCTTGGTGGAGGTGAGCAAAGAGGAGGGGGAATGGGGACATATGTAAGAGTGTCAACAATAAAAAATAAAATAAATAAAAAGAAACTTTTCCTGTATCCAGAAGCCAATCCTTTGCTTTAAATGTTGTCTTAGCATCTGTGGTGCTATTCTTAAGTAACTATGAAAGCAGCTACAAGAATAGTACAAGAATGAAGTAAAACTCAGAAAAGGAAAACAGTAATGAAATCATTGCAAATACTCGGTGAAAAGTCCATTTAAAAAAAGTACAAATATACTTTAAAATTCGGTTAATAAATGGTGAGTTCAGACTAGTGGGATTCAGACCTCAGCTGTACAACGTACTGGTTGAGAAACCCTGGACACAGTTACTGACCCGCCCTAGGCTGCACAGCCTTAGCTACGAAATGAAGATAAAACTACCTCCTGTTTCCTCAGGCCGTCAACAGAACTGTCTTGTAGTTCATAGACTGGCCTTAGTGCCTCATGTGTGACACATTTTCAACAACTATTAGCTATTAGTTCTACAGCTCTACAGGAGGGACTACTGCAATTCATCTGTCCCTAGTACCCAGCACATAGTCAAATAGCTGCCTAACACATTCAAATTTCATGGCATTTTCAAAAAGACAAATCACACAATTGCTGAGGATTTTGTAAAATCAGTTGCAAAGTTAAGAACTAATAAGTTGTTTAGAAAGAAAACAGAACAAGTTATTGCCAAAATTACTTTATCAAATGACTTTATTAACATGAAATAACATGAATGACAGAATGTCAAAGAGAAGCTATTAGTCTTAGTGTTCTGACTGATGGTTTTCTCTGGCTGATAGTTCCCTGAAGGCTCCGATGTGTAGAGTATAATCAAGTGTTAGCAGAAGCATGATTCGTATACATGAGAGACATTTTATTCACTGAAATTTGTATTAGAAAAGAAGAGATATTTCTTTAAGTTACTGCTTATTATCCTTTTGGAAAATATTGTAGCCTCAGACAACATTCTACCAAAATTAGAAGTAAATTAGCACCAGTTATTGTACCCCAGGGAAGAGTGTTAATAAGCAAATGTCAGTGGTTGCACCTTAGTGCCAATATTTAAACTAGCTTTAGGCCAAAGACCAGTTGGCAGCCAATCTAATGAATCCAGACCACGGTCTAACATCAAAAAAGATAATGAGCTTTGGGAATATAATAAGATTATGGACATTAAGTATAACGTGTAAAGATATGCACAGCAAATGTAAAACTGCTTTTCTCTTCTAGAGTATGCTGGTTGTTGAAAGGAAAGGCACTTTTGAAATGAGGGGGAGGAAACAAACGTTCCAAGTCTGTGAATTCAGGTGTCTCCCTCAAGCAACATATCTCAGTGATATATTCAATATCTAACACAGCCCAAACCAGTTACTCCTTGCCAGAAAAAATGACTTTTACTAGCATCCCTTAGCAAGAAAAAAAATCGTGCAAAAGACCTGACCACTTATAGTTTGACTTTTTCCAATATTTGATGATTTTCCTTAACTTCTAGTTGCCTTAGAAATATATTGATGGGGTGTCATTGAGCATATTTAAAAACCACATCCATATGCTGCATTAGATCATGAAGATATAATTTCAGAATAAAATATCATTGAAGAGTAAATTAGAAAGCCATTTAACCTTTTAACTTTGAGCATGGTATGTTTACTTAATATCTGATGAAGTACCAGAAGTTGGATCTCAGTATTCAGAACGATGGGACAGAGCTTCTGGTAAATCTTAAAAGATATAATCAAAAGTTTAGATTTAATTTTACTAAGAAACA